ATATACAACTGATCTGGTTGTAAATACGAGCGTTTCTGGTGCACAAGCATAAGTGCTCAGACTGGGAGAACTAAGCATGCGGTGGCTTTGGTAGAACGAAGGCATATTTACCTTGCTTGTTTTGTGTCGCTCATTCGCCATAGAAGTCCAAAAAGAGTGTTGTCTGCACGTGGTAAAATCCCAGCGTGCCCGTACGTGAAAACAAGATCGCTATGCCTCGCTTCTGCTTTCCGTACATTTCTTTCAGTGGTGGGTAAAACGGAGGTTGAGCAGCGATTTGGTAAACAATTCAGCTACTATCCAGTGATGTGGTGGATAATTCAGTTACTATCCATATGAAACCAATAAATAGGGCGGACAAAAATGGTTTCAATTGAGTATTAAATTTTTGCCTCTTAATTTTTATGAAATATAAATTTTACTTTTTGAAAATTTGAGACTGTGCAGTGCACGAGGTGCACATATGGACGAGACGCCACTGTTGTCAATTAACCACATAATTCGAGCAGTAAAAATGAATTCACAGCCATATTTTTTTTAAACAATTATATTTTAATTCTCTTAGGAATTTTCCGCACTATTCAGAACACTCTCAATACTCCGAATACGATGCCTCCGAAAAACGTGTAACGGCAAGTTTGCTATAGCATAGCTTAGCCATTTCTTGATGAATTTCAAAAATTATGGTACTTCTAGAATTCCTAGATTATTTAAAAGATTAAAAATTAAACGATTAAAAATAGGGTCGTCTACTTTATTGAAAAATGTTTATGGGTTTTGCCAAATTAGATTAATGGGCAAAAATGTTCATAATTAGCCAGAATACTGTCATGGTTCCTATATATAGATCCTGGAGATAACGGAACGGTCCTCCGGAAGATTCGGAACATCCGTAAAATTGGTCAATCCACGAAACAGAAACTGATCCTAGAGCTCCGCGGTTTTTTCGAACTGTGATATAAGAAAGAATTTAAGTTCATGACATAAACACGAATCCGGATGGCCATAGGACCATCCTCCGGAAAATCCGAAACATCCATTTCGAAAACACGTGGAACTGTAATATAAGAAAGAATTTGGGGTCGTGACATAAACATGGACCCGGATGGCCATTGGACCGTCATTCGGAAGATCCGGAACATCCGTAAAAGTGTTTCATACATGAAACTGTGAAAAAAACCGTGATTTTTTTTCGAAAACTTCACAGTTCGAAGTGTTCTCGAGAAAACCACTAAGTTCTAGAATCAGTATCATCGATGCACTACTTTTACGGATCTTCCGGAGACGGTTTCATGGTCATTCGGGTTCATGTTTATGTTACGACCCCAAATTATTTCTTATATCACAGTTACACGTGTTTTCGAAAAAAAACCAGGGTCCACGACCCCAAATTCATTCTATCATCACAGCTCCTAGTGTTTTTCTAAAACTGCGGAGCTCTAGGATCAGTTTCATGAATTGACAACTTTGACGGATGTTTCGGATCTTCCGGAGGACGATCTTATGGCCATACAGGTCCATGTTTGTGTCATGATCCCAAATTCTTTCTTATAACAGTTCCTAATGTTTTCGAAAAAACCGCGGAGTTCTAGGAGTTCTAGGTTTATGGATAGACCACTTTTACGAATGTTCCGGATCTCTCGAGGACCGTTCCGTTATCTCCAGGTTCCATATATAGGAACCATGACTGCAGCGAGTGTTCAACCGAGTAGCGTCGATGTTTGATTTCCACTTTTTTTTTCTTTATTTAGGAGATTTTCAGCCGTAGGCTGGTTCATCTCCGAAAGCCCCTGAAGGGGACTCCCCTAGTAACGTAGTTTAAAATTTTTCGGTAAACCCTGAGGGGCTTCTCCTGGATATAGGTGTGCTTAGGGTGTTCCCTTGGTACATAGTGGTTTTTACAGAGTTTGTTGAGTTTGTGTTTCGTGTTTGTTCAGCGAGATTGGCGGTTCATAAAAGGGATGGCAGTGGTCGTTGTAAAGGGTAATCAGATAATCGTTGTGTGGTATCCAGTCTAAAGTGAATCGGGTCCGTGTTCGGTGCGTTGTTATTTTGTATAGGGGGTTGGTGATTAAATGTTATCAAACAATCCAGCATCTTTAAGAAAGGTTATTAGAGCAGCTTCCATGGATGGGTCGTTAGACAGGGCATTGCGTATGCTGTCCGGGATTTCGTTGTGGACCCGGATGTTCTGGAAGCAGGGGCAGTTGACGATCAGGTGTTCGACAGTGATTATGATTATAGTGTTGCAGGCATCGCACCACTTCTGAAAAGATGTAGCGCTGCCCATATTATGGGTTACTCGGGTGTGTCCAGATCAGAGCTGAGATAGGACCTGTTGTTCCCGTCGACTTGTAGTGTCCCTCCATTTGAAGATGTCGTCCTTTATTTTCCTTAAGAAAGGTCCCCTTTTTGTAACACACTCTTGGTACCAGGCGTCTCGAAGGGTTGTTTTCACCCATGTTTTTATGTCTGGACTGGGAACAGATGTGGCAGTCATCCGGCCGGTGCGCCCAGTGGCGGCGAGATGGTACGCTTCGCAGTTACCGCGTATACCACAATGGCCGGGTACCCAGACAAATAAGGGGTTCGGCGGTCCGGTCTTTTGTATTGCTTTGATCCAGGGATGTTTTGATGTTGCTGAATTCAAGGCATATAAACCGCTGGCAGAATCTGTTAGATGGGTTTATCGAAGGGCGTAGTGAAGGCTAAGTAGATGGCCGCGGCCTCCGCCGAATAGACGGAGCATTGATTGGGAAGTTAAAATTTCCACTTGACACGGAATATGCTTCGCCGAAGATTCTCTGCCTTTTTTTGCTGACCGAAAGCACAACAGCTAAGTGTAAGACTTATACTTTTTTAATAACTTGACAATGCTTTCCTAGTTATTTTCGTTTGTAACTGTAGTATATGTAGTCTGTATAATCTGTACTTTTTTTACAACACATCATTGGGACCAGTGTTGGGAAAATATCAAAAAATCAAATCTCACCAACGCCCAAGATCACGCTTGATTTTCGTAGACAAAAATCAACAAGCAAACAACTGCGGTTGATTTTGCAAGCTGTGATATTACAGCTCGGAATATCAAGCTAGCAAAACTCACCAACTTCAAATCTCACCAAACTGTGGTGAGATTGAGTTTAATGATTTTTGCTTTACTCCCGAATGCAACCGATACTTCCATAACGGCTTGCAGCAGTCCCTTCGCGTCTGTCATCGGTGAAGATTAAAAAGAGATAGCAAACTTTGCTTTCTCTTTCTAAGAAAATGATGTGCAATGGACTCATTTTTGTGTCGAGTCAACTCTCAGCTTGATTTTTGCACGTTGTGAATAGTCTCGCAATATCAAAGGAGCTTGTGAAACCAATATCAAGCATGATATTTTGTTCCAATATCACGCGTGATATTGCGAGCGCATGAGAGCGGAAAAATATCAATTGATTTATGATTTTGCCAACACTGATTGGGACTATTTCTAGTCTGTTGATGCAAACATAACAAATAAACAAATTACTGTATTCTGGCTGATTATGAACATTTTGGCCGATTAATCTAAATTATGGATCTTAAGCCACTTGCAAAACTTGTAAACACACCTTTAAATAAACGTGTAACGACTCTTTTCGCGTTTGAAAAACATAGACGACCCTAGTTTTAATCTTTCTGCAATTAAAATAATCTACAGAGCCTAAGAATTCTAGTGGCACCACAATTTTTGAAATTCATCAAAAAATGGCTAAGTTATGTCATTGCAAACTTGCTGTTATACGTTTTTCGGATGCTTCGTAGTCGGCGTAAAGTATTTTACCCACCGTATTCGGAGTGTTAAGATTACGTTTCTTGTTGAAGTCTCATCATAATTTTCTTTGAATTTTCCTTAAATTGTATCTATCATTTTCCTCCCAATCCCCATACATTTCTCCTCAGAATCACGTAGGAATTTTCCTAAGCACCTCACACTTGAAATTTTCCTAATAGCCTGAGAAATTTAGAAGTTCCTTTCTTCTCCACATAAATCCCGAAATCAGGTGAAAAAAACTACAAGCGACAGCTGGTGTACGCAACGGTGACGTAGGACTACGTGGTCTTATATAACAAATCTTATTTTTTAACTACATCAGGAGCTTGTGTTTTGTGTAGGAATAGGAATTTGAGCGGGTTTTTCTCTGTTTATACTCTTTAGTATGGCGCACTTGACATAAATGGCCCATAGCGACTCACGAAGAGCTACTGATTCCGATCAATAACGGTGCAGCTTCTTCCTCCTTCTATGGATGATTACGTGGGCTGCAGCTCGCTGCTTACCGACAGCCTTTCGTTGTGTACTGGAGAGCACCACCACTGATTGAATAAACACCGTTTGGTGAGACCGGTTGGAATTCAACTTTGAAATCTGTGTTAGGGAAATCAATTTTCGCAGGCAATCGGTGATAATTTTAATTATCAATGCAACAGTTTCATTTTTCAATAGTGACATTTTGAAAAATGATTAGGTCGTAAATTTAAAAGATGCGTAGAAATATATCTGATCGATTGGTGATAAAATTATTGAAATTGGTCCAGGGGCAGCTGAGTTATTTACGTTCAAAATCTTTCACAATTTTGTTACATGTTCCATTTTCGATTTTTTTTTACAACGTGTACACGTGTAGAAATCACAGACGTAGTCCTACGTCAAAATCAAGCTATGAAGATTTTGCGCCACCTCAAATCATGTCTGATTGTGCCCAAATTTTGCATAGGATCTTTTTTAGAAGGAATAAACAATTAATATATGGTCGGATTAAAAAAAAATCATTTGCTCCCTAACGTACACGACTTTCTACAATGAGGCGCCAGCACATCGCAGACAACGCCAATGCGTACACATTCTATTTCTATTAATTGAGAAAAATACAAACACCATGCATTAGTAACTCTTATGACTACAAAATTTGAAACATTTTAAGTTAATACTACCTATACTAACCTAGTTTTCTCTCATCTCCCTCTTCCAGCAACACACTGCTATACGTAAAATTCCTTCTGCTATGGGCGTTCGTAATCACAGCTGACTTCCTGCTGGAGTTCCGTTTCGAATTTCTGTGGCCCTTCTGGCTACTTCTTCGCTCAGTGTATGACTCGTTCAAATACAAAGGACTGGTAAGTGTTTTCTGGCTCCGTAATGCTGCTTTACTCAAACTCATAAATGCATGATTGATCTTAGGCCTTCTCGGTACTGTTCGTGTGCATTGCCATCACTTCCGACCTAGTGTGTTTGTTCTTCATCCCAGTGCAGTGGCTGTTCTTCGCGGCCAGCACCTACGTGTGGGTGCAGTATGTGTGGCATACAGGTACGCGTGTGTGTGGAATTCCTCCCCTGCAATGATCCTCGACTAACTGTTTTTCGTTGTAGATAAAGGAGTCTGTCTGCCAACCATCATCCTGTGGATACTGTTCGTCTATCTGGAAGCTGCCATCCGGTGGAAGGATAGTCGAAACATACCACATCTCGATCTCTGCCGGCCATTCGCGGCGCACTGGTAAGTTGCCCATCGGCTTTTACACGAGTAATCGTTAGTCACTCGTTTTGAAATTCTTCCAGCATTGGCTACCCGGTGGTAACACTCGGGTTCGGCTTCAAGAGCTACGTTGGCTATCGCATAAGGCAGCGCAAACAGCGCGAGGTGGCCAAGGACAATGACTTCTACATGCAGCTGCTGCAGGAAGCTTTGCCCAAGGATGAATCCCCTGTCAGTGGCGGTGATGCGAATTCGTCTGTTGACCAGCATCAACAGGATCACCAGCTGTCACCTTCCGCTCAGCAGAAGGATCTTACCGTGACGGCTGCAGCGATTCATCAGCAAGGCAACAGTATCATCAGCAACAGTACTAGTAGTAATAGTAGTAACAGCAGCAGTGGCGGTGGTGGTGGACATCACCATCACCATCATAGTAGTAAGAACGCTCAAAGTCATAACAAATCACAGAGCAATGTGACGTCCACGAGTCACGTAAACGGTCACGCCGTAGGAGGAGGCACAAGTTCGACGGTGACTAGCAACAGTAGTGGAAACAGTACAATGAATGGCGGGGTCAACCATTCGAAGCATCTTCATCGGAAGAGCCTGGACAAGGACAGCTCCGGTACGCCGAGCGGGAAGGTCAGCAGTTATCCATATCACCAACAGCAACAGCAGAACAGTACCGGTAGTAGCAGTAACAGTGCTAAGGAAAGCTCGCGATCGAACGATAGCTCCCACACGAACGGTGCTGCCATGTCTCCGAAGGAGAAAAAAGACTGCGACTCCTCGACGGGCCAAAAGTCTCACTTTGATAGTCTCTCTACGGCCAGTTATCAAATGAACAGTAGCAACAAATCTACGCAGGTATGGAATGTTGATGCTACAGTGCTGTTCGACATAATAGCAGCGCATGCCGATTTTCATACAAAATCGACAACATTGACATGTTGTAAGTTTGTTCTCTTAAGATCAATTGAGCTGATACGTTCGTCTCAGAACAAAAAATCTGTTTAATTTTAAGATTACAAAATACCAAATTTGTTGAAGCGCCTGCTGGAAAGTGACATACTTGGGAATTTTTGTTTTGAATAATAGCAGTTTTTGATTAGAAAATTTATGTGGTTGGGGATTGTTTGAATTTTGAGAAATGTAAAATTTAAAATCTCAAAATTGAGCCGAAATGCAAATTATTAAAACTGCTAATATTTCGAACAATTTTACCTAGTATATCACTTTTCGGCAGGTGCTCCGAAAATTTGGTTTTTGTAATCGTAAAATTGTACATACGGGAAATGGATGTAATGTCGGCCTAAATGCCCCTAGTTTGGGCCCATACATAAATTCAGTAACCGACTAAATTTTCAATAGTGACCAAAAATATCCATTAGTACTGTCCCAATGACGCGTTCATCTAGATAAAATTGATAAATAGCAAATTTTTTGCGATGGGCCCAATCTTAGATCCATAGGCCAATATTAGAGCCATTCTCTCTATTTGTGGTTCTGTGACTAAGGTTTCAGCTCAATTGATCATAAGACAACAAAGTTACATCATGTCAAGCTAACAATGTTCTATGAAAATCGGCATGCGCTGCTTATTGAACAGCACTGCATATGTTTCTGTTGAATGGTATTTCTGGTAATGCTCATATTTTGTTTTATAGGTCAATGACAGCAACCATGACAGTGGAGGAGGTCGGAGCAAGGGTCAGCAAAACGGTCACGTAGTCAACTACGACATGGAACTCAACCATCAACAGCAGCAGCAGCAGCAACCACATAATCACATAGAGAACGATCCTCCGGTAGAGCCGAAGGCGAATCGTTCCGGTCGTAAGAATCGCGTAAAACAGAAGGAGAATGCCAATCACCTGGCAGCGGTTCGACTGGCGGCAACACTTGCTCTGGCATCCTCCATAACCACCCTCACGACAACAACGGCTGCGGCGTCGACGGTATCTACGACGACGGCGGGGACCGCGACGACGACCACCACCACGACATCTATGACTTCTTCCAAAGACAATCATCAACATCACCACAACCACGATCAACAGCGACAGCAGGAGCAGCAGGCCGCAGCCAACGACAGCAGTAACAGCACAGTCTCGAACAATACTCAGAATGGTAACAGTCTGGCCGCGGGTTCTACGGCGGTCAGTTCGAATGCCACGGGAATCGGAACGGTTCCATCACAGCAACACCCACCGGTCGCACCGGCGCCGGTGGTTCCGAAAGTATGTGACACTTGCAGCCGACTGGAGGCGGACGCCAAGAAGCTCCGTTTGGAGATTACTAACCTGAAGCAAGGCGAATACGAAATGCGACAAAAGTACGATGCTAACACCGGCAATCTGAAGACCTGTTTGCAGGCCAAACAGAAGGAGCACGAGGAGCTACAGAACAAGTAAGATCAACACAAATCTTTCATACAGTATTCTAGATTAGGAAAATGTTCCATTCCAGATTCCAAGACCTGACGGTCCAGCGACAGCAGGAGCGGCAAAGCATGCAAACGGTCGAGCGACGGTTGGGCGAGGAACGGCGCCATCGGCAGTCGCTGGAGTCCCAGGTGTCGAACGAACGCAAACACCGGAAGCAAGCGGAGGAGAAGGCCGCCCGCGCCGAGTGCGGCGAGGCGTGCAAGCTCAAGCGACAGCAGATGGAGATGGAAATCCAGAAGCTGCGGCGAGAACTGATCAACTCCGAGGACGCCATGCACAATGCCGAAACGCAGAATCGGAACTTTGAACAGGAGGTAGGTCTAGTAGGGGGTCATAGTCTGCGTCAACAGGTTAAACGAGAGCTAAGGATCCGTCTAGAAGTTGGGTCATGAATTTTTCAAAAACTGGCTTTTTATCAGCTTTGAATGTTCCCGTCGACGCTTCGTCGTAAATATTCAACGATATACACGGACTATGAGACCGACTCAAAATTGAGTTAAATTCTACTCAATTTGGACAAAAAGTGGATTTCCTCTAAAGTGAGTTGAATTTCCCGAGAAAAACTTCTCGAATATGAGGAAAAATCGAAAGAGGTTTAACTTAGTCTATTATTATACTCCGAGGCTGAGTAAAATGTTCATAGATTTCTCATACTCGAGAAGATTTTCTTGGAAAAGCTCGGAAAATGCTACTCACTTTGTGAGTAGATCCACTTTTATTTATTGATTTTTTTATTTAGGGTAAATGATGGCTTCGGCACGCATTGACTGTTGTTGGCAACCAAATTTGAACGTTAATTTTGCTGCATTTTCTCACCAAAACACTTCGATGAATGTATTAGTCTATCAGCTTCAATCTGATTACATTAAGCAATTGCCAGGTTTTTCTGCAAATGAAACATACGGACTACAAATTCAGCTGCTTAACACGCTGTTCAAATGGAAAGGTTGCCGAAAAAGAGGCTGCCGGCAATAATCACACTCACCTGAGAAGTTTGGAGTGCTGTAAAAACGCTTTCAAATCGTTTTGGACAATTTTTCCGATTGGAATGGATAGAAAATCAAGCAGCAGATAAATGTAAACAAACAAACATGCCATATGTGTGCGTGAGAAATGTCTTACAGAAGTTCGGGCGCTGCACAGTGGTTGAAAAGTTCATAAATAGCACCATGGAGAATGGATTTAGGCTTTGAACCATTTGGTGGATTATTTTAACTCCTGGTTAAAATTTGACAGATGGAAAGTTATCGATTAACCCTGCTATCCGAGCGTGGTTACTTCTGACAGACAAGAAGTTAAATTTTGACAACTCTGGCCAGTGCTGTAATGTCTCAAAATCATTTGAACATTTTTGATGAAAATGAGGAAAGTAGCTATTCGCTATCAAAGGGGACCTCCTCCGAATGGGTGATATCAGTTGCTTAGTCATTTGACAAAGGCATGGATCATTCTCATTTGAGAAACGCTATATATCATTCAATTGAGTGTAACCTACACACAAACGGACGCAAGCTGCGGGACTTCAGCTGGCTACGCAACCCGTAGAAAGCCCTGTTCGCGGCTGCAATACGCCTTTTCACCTCGCGGGTAACATCATTATCGCACGTCACTAAAGTACCAAGATAAACAAATTCGTCCACAACTTCAAATTTTTCGCCATCTAGCACCACTTCACTACCAACACCACTATTGCTCCCACGCTTTCTACCGGCGACCATGTACTTCGTTTTGGTAGAATTTATCGTGAGACCAATCCTCGCTGTCTCCCTCTTAAAAGGCGCGAACGCCTCTTCCACTGCTCTACGGTCGATTCCGATGATGTCGATGTCGTCCGCAAAACCAAGAAGCATGTGCGACCTTGTGATGATGGTACCGTTCCTCTGCACGCCAGCTCTCCTAATCGCTCCTTCGAGGGCGATGTTGAATAGCAAGTTCGAAAGAGCATCTCCCTGCTTCAACCCATCTAAGGTCACGAACGAGGCCGAAATCTCGTCTGCAACCCGTACACATGATTTCGAACCATCCAGCGTTGCACGAATCAGCCTAATTAGTTTCGTCGGAAAACCGTTTTCTTGCATTATCTGCCATAGGTCGTTTCTCTTTACTGAATCGTACGCTGCCTTGAAATTTATTTACAGATGATGAGTCTGCAAGTTGTATTCCCGAAACTTCTCAAGGTTTTGACGCAGGGTAAACATTTGATCCGTCGTTGATCGACCCTCACGAAAACCAGCCTGGTATTCGCCGACGAAGCATTCCTCAAGCGGTCTCAATCTGTTGAACAGAACACGTGATAATATTTTGTACGCCGAATTCAGAAGCGTGATTCCTCTGTTATTGGCGCACTCCAGTCTGTGTCCCTTTTTGTAGAGGGGACAAACGAGACCATCCAACCAACTAGCGGGCAATTCTTCCTCCTCCCATGGTAGATGATCTGGTGCAGCTGCTCACTTCCGTGTTTGAGAAGTTCGGCCGGGAGCTCGTCCTTCCCCGCAGCCTTACTGTTTTTCAGCTCTCGTATCGCCTTTTTCACCTCTTCTAGCGATGGTGGTTCCACAGAATGACCATCGTCGTCGATGTGTGATCTGTTTGTAGATGCTCTCTCGTTCTCTCCGTTCAGCAACGTCTCGAAGTACTCCTTCCACCTGGCAGCCACCATCGTTTTATCTGTCAGCAGATTACCTTCACGGTCATAGCACATGGCGGGAGACGGCGCTGTCTTACTCCTCACGCCATTGACAGTTGCGTAAAACCTTCGCATATCATTCTGCTCCATACTTTCTTGCGCCTCAGGAATAACGCGTTCCTCGTACTGCCTTTTTTCTGCGATGGGTTCGTTTCTCGGCTGACCTTGCTACCCTGTACCGCTTTCTGTCCTGACGGGTACCAGACACCAACATCCGGCTTCTGGCGACGTTCTTCTCCTCTGTCACTCGCTGGCACTCCTCGTCAAACCAACCGTTCGGGGGGCGCCTCTGAGCTGTACCTATCACCTCTCGTGCTGTTGTGCTCACCGCTCCGTGGACAGCTTCCCACAGATTGTTGAGATTCTCGTTCACGTTGATTTCCGCTATCCGCTCATTCAGCTTCTGGTGGTACTCTGCAGCAACACCATCTGCTGTCAAACGCTGGATGTTGAAACGCATCGATCTCCGGTTTCTCGAACTCGTAACGGTCGATAGACGCGCTCAACAACGAGGTAGTAATCCGAGTCGATATTAGGACCCCTGAAGGTCCTGACATCTACGACATCCGAGAAATGCCGACCATCCACCAACACGTGGTCGATCTGGGAGCAAGTTTCGCCATTAGGGTGTCTCCAGGTGTGCTTTCGGATATCCTTGCGTGCAAAGTGGGTGCTACTGATTTCCATATCACGAGCAGCAGCGAAGTTTATCAGCTTCAGACCATTATCATTCGTTGCAGAGTGAAGGCTCTCTGTTCCAATGATTGGGCGAAAGAATTCCTCTCTTCCAACCTGCGCGTTTGCATCTCCGATGACAATCTTCACGTCGTGTTTTGGGAACTCATCATAGGTTTTATCCAGGCTTTCATAAAACGCGTCCTTCACGTCATCGGATTTATCGTTAGTCGGTGCGTAGATGTTGATCAGGCTGTAATTGAAGAATTTGCCACGAATCCTCAAAACGCAGATGCGCTCGCTAACCGGTTTTCACCGCATAATCCGCTTGATCTGTTTTCCAATCACTACGAAACCAACTCCGTGTTCTGCTCTATCGCCACCGCTGTAGTAGATATGGTATTTGAACGATGTGTTGGCGATAGGATCTACCGCCCTGAATTCACGTTCTCCAGATCTAAGCCACCGTACTTCTCGAATAGCAGCCACACTCACATTCACCTTTTGCAGTTCACGGGCCAGAAGGCCCACTCGCCAAGGTTCATTTAACGTTCTGACATTCCAAGAACCGAGTTTCCATACATTGTTCTTATTTCGTTGCCGTTGGGTCAGTTGCCGAAAATTCCGTTCTTCTTACTTCATTTTTCTGAGTATTTTTATAATTCAGTATGCTACCGTACCAGGGTTGCGATACCTACATCGTGATGATGGGGCTGCTGTTTGAGCCGCACCTCCTGGTGGACAGACGCTCGGGTTATTGTGTAGATGGGGCTGCCATCTTAGATTTAGCTGACACAATACAGCATTTCTTTTTCAGCCGCTGGATCCCAGACGGACGCTGTTCGAGCCGCACCTCCTGGTGGACAGACGCTCGACGATTTGCACCTCCTCAGCCTAAGAGATAAACTAGCCTATGGCTAAAAATCTCTCTAATAAAGAAAAAAAAAAAACCTCCTCAGCCTTGCTATCATCACGATTTGGGTTAATCGTGATGACATTGCCCACACCCCGCTACCAGCACATATATGGGCATATACTGGCTGTCATCATCCGACACGTGGAAGCGTGAGGTAGGAGCTTGTGAAGACCAGAGCTATGTTGGACGCTCTTTCCCCTGTGGTCCTCACCATTTTGGGGTGTCTGAACGTACTATTAGAGTAATAACATCTTGAGCAAAGTTGATGAGTATGACATGCTTCATCTTTTGAAGGCATGGGATTTGTAATTAATCCCCCTAAAAGTGAAATGAAAAATTTATTTTTCACAATGTCGAAATAAATGGTTGACGTCTTGAGCAAAGTTATTGTTATTGTTATTGTTATTGCTCAGTTCACACCCTGGCAGGCTGCTGCCTACCGATCTGCACTTAAGCCAGGCATGAACCTACGGAAATTTAGTCGTGGCCTATGCTAGACCGTATAGCATAACGACTTTCCTTTCACTAGCAGGCTTTTTGGTCCCACTAGCGTCCGATTAGGAGATAGTAAGAGATTAAAAGAATAAAGAAGAGAGATAGAGAATTTTGTTGTCTTGCTGAAAAAAAAATCCCGCCGACTTGTTGTGCAACATCAGGTTTGTTCGCTTTCATTCCGTTCCAAGGGGCAACGTCCATAGTCGTCGTAGTCAAATACCTGGGAACCTCCAGAGGTGCACAGGGCCAACGTGAACGACTTCCATTCTGGGCAGCTGCTTGACCTGGGCCCAGGTCAAATTCCTATCGGCTTGCTTAATTTCCTTGTTGACGCTCCGCCGCCTTAGTATTTGCCTTTGCTGCGATGTTCTGGCGGATTTAATTCATAATCAAACGCTTGCCTGCAGACTTCTTTTCTATTGCTATCGGCTTCTGATGACATTTACATCTGAGATCCATTTGTGAGGCCACCAGCCACAAGTTATATACCGCAGGCAGCGGTTGATGAGACCTGCAGCTTTTGAGTGTTCCCCACTGGTGCT